CCTCAGCACTAAGCAGAGGTCACATGACCATCCCACCATCCAGAGCGCATGGCAGTTGAGGTCTCCTGAGTTCTGCTTTATACAACTGAACACAAGGAGACCCACCTGCTTAAGGGGACCCCTCCCCAGAATCAACCAGGCATTAAAAAAGTAATTAGCATCTGAAGACCAAGAAAACTATCCTGGGTTATTTTAGCGTAACCTCTGATGTTATGAGAGCATTCATAGGACAACCTAGACCTCAGCTTTAAACACAAAAGAAATCTGAAAGCCTCACTTCCTTCTCTCCCCTTTGGTGCTCTGTATGTTTGTTAACACTCAGTGGGGTCTAGTTCCCAATGTGCTGTCACATGAGTCATCTCAAGCGCAAACTTCTGAGCTAAGTCATTATTAAGTCACATGGCCCGACAGCCGTTTGTGAGGAGCCCCAACACCTCCCAAAGATTTTTCTTTCTCATCAAGAACAGAGAAGAAGGCTAGTACCTGAAAAGGCAAGTTATTATTGCTGATTTCGGCTGTGAACCTCTAAATCAGTGGCTCATGGATGCTGTGATGAGCACGCAGAGCCCTCTCTGCTGGCATGTGAGCAAAGTCACCCCAAACCTTGGAAGTGGGGTGTTGAAATATTTTACAAATCTAAAAAAACACTTAGAAAATTCTACATTTGCAACCCATCCTACAAATCAGCATGAAATATACAAGGAATGTTATAGCATTGTAGCAGCTGCAAAAGGGAATTTTGGTAACAGATTTTATAGTTCAGTAAGTGTGGAATTCTCTGTCAAATGATTTCAAGTCAGTGAAAGCACTTGGGACTGCTTTTCTTACTTTGTTTGGATCATCTCATGCCTGTGAGCAGCTGTTTTCAGCTTTCAATTACAGCAGATCTGATACAAGAAACAGACCAACAGGCGACCTGAGTGCTGCCTGTGCTGTTCTCAAGCTAACGGAGTGTGAGCCAAGGTGTGACAAATTAACACCATACAGACAACAGCAAAGATCGCAGTACTTCTGCAAAACCACACCAAATGCACTTCTATATTCCAATAAAACACTACTTGTATTACCAAAAGCTTGGTTATTGTGTTTTTCTTTTAAGACAAAAGACATTAAATTGTGAGTTGTTTTTTTTTCTAAACTTAAACCTCAGTATTCGGGTTTAATAGCAGTGTCAGCACTTGGTGATAAATACAATTTGGGGTTACAATTTGGGTATTCAGTCCCTGAAAGGTTTGCCAGTGCTGCTCTCAACAGTCTGGCCACCTGGTGAGAATCAGTGCCATGCAGAGCAGGTTTCAGGCCTGAAGAGACGAATACCGATCCTCAAGTATCCATCACTCGTTGATGTAAGACAATAAATGGTCTAGCCGCATGTTCCTGTTCACTTGTTGAAATGGAGTACTTTGGGGAAAGACGGGACAAAAGGATCCGGGGAGGGAAGACCTGTTCTTCGATGGGGCTTGAGAAGGAATCAGTTTAAAAGTCATCGCAAAGATTCTGATCTGTTATGATTTTCAAGGAAACTGGAAATACATAGCAGCTAGGTACTTACTGAGTGTATTCACTACCAAATAAATCCTACTAGCTATTTTTATAAAAATAGGGTAACAAAATTAGACATGAACCAACCATGAAATATGAATGACAATCTCAAATTAGAAGGAAACATCACATTTTAAAAGCTGATATGTAAAGCTAAGGTGAAGTATTTATACTGATTCCTACATTATACCTTTGTTTTCCTAGCACTTTATTTCCTTAAGACAAAATGAAATCAGCCACACAATAACTGTTCCTCTTCACAGAAGAAAGCCATTTCATATTTTGATTCTTGTTTTTGTCCCTAAACTACATCTTTTTCATTTTTCTTTTGTTTTGCTCCTTTGGCCTAATCTGGATAATCTGAAGAACACTTTTTTCTTTCTTTCTTTCCTTTTTTTTTAATGTTTGGTGTGGAGGGGACAGGATCTTGCTAGCTAGCCCAGGTTACCCTTGAGCTCAGTATGAAGCCCAGGCTAGCCTCGAAATTGCAGTGATCCTCCTGCCTCAGTCTCCCCAGTACTGGCAGTACAGGCATGCGCACCATACCTGGCACCTTCTTGTGGTTTTTTTTTAACTCAAAAATTCCATTATAATATTCTGCATTTAAAGTAAAAAAATTATAATTTCAAAATGCATATATAGGACATTTTCATTTGTAGCTGGATATCATAATTAAAAATCCATTTTTCAAGGTAATTTAACTTTCCTCCTTTTTGAAAAATTAAGTTGCTTATATGAGAAATCACCTATCATTTGTCTCAAATAGAATATAAGTGTGCAGACTGTGGAGCTGAAGGCCTCCCCGGCTCAGGCATCTGTGACCCGTGGCTCCCAGGTGCCCTCCTGACGGCCACATTCCACTCCGGGGCTCAAGGAGCACCCAGCAGCACACCACGTGTGTGCAGACCCAAGAGAGGTATCCCCTCGTGCTGGGGCAACTTGACGGGGTTTCCAAAAGCTGTTTTCTTTGTTTGATCCACAGACTGTGTTCCGGACAATCTGCTGCCCATGGACAAATCTGCGTGTTCTGCTATTCAGTGTGTCCTTTAAGAATAAAAGCAAGTCTTACGAAATGTTGGTAGGGCAGACAAAAGAAAAGCAGGTTTCAGTAAATGCAGTTACATCTCCACAGACAAAATATTAATAAAACAAAGAATCAAAACTTGTTTTATGTCAGATTTTTTCCCATCCACAATTCTTAAAAAGATGGCTAAAAATAACATTGTAGTTATACATCTATTAATAAACAAAATTCTACAGCTAGTATAACAGCATTAAGACAGTATGTGGTGGTACTCTACATAGTGTTGAATTTCATTACATTTGTCCTCATAGAGTCTGAGAGTCCAATCACCCAGCTTCACGGTCAGGTAACTACGGGTCAGGATGGCAACAGACCTGACAGTAGGGACAGGGAGAGAAGATGCTGGGACTCATGACCATTAATCTAAAAGATCAAAGGTATGCTCTGAATAAAGGCCAATCCAGTCAACTAGAGACTATGAAATTAGTGCCAGAGAGCTCACTTTGATTGTAGTTTTATAACTGACTGACTCTAGAACAACTCTTTCTCTTTTCCTTTTTGGTAAAATGATAACATGAACAAGCAAATTTCCAAGGTTCCATCTAATCAAAATGCCAATTCAGGCAGTTCCCCAACTGTCTGTAATGAGAAAATCAATAGAACCCAAAGCCCTTAGATTCACAGAAACGAGACTCCTCAGGGGAATGCTCGACTGAATGCTGCTTTCCTCTGATCCCTGAACTTTGGGTCCCTTTAAAATCTGGCCTGCAAGGAGAACTTTTAGACCAACGATGATCTTCTGGCTCTCTCTAACCTACTTCAAAGGCCCAAATGATCAAGTCATTTTCTTGTGTATGACCTCTATCCTTTCCCAACATTCATCAAGGTTATTTTTTTTAGTGATCTTATAAACACCCTGTCAAAAAATAAAAATAGAAACAGGGCTGAGGATATAGCTCAGTGAAAAGGCCCTGGGTTCCAACCCCAGGGCCATTAATAAAGGAAAAAAAAAGTTCTGTGCTGTAGTGGTATCCCAGACTATGAACAGGCACCATCCAGTCCAGAAAGCTCTAGCCCCAGAAAACCTACAGATATTGTAGTAATCTGAAAGGCTCAAAGCAGTTTTCATGAATGTAAAAAAACTGCTGTTTGGATGATCATTTTTGATAGGGAAGTCATACACTGTTCATTTGCTTTCTTTCCTTAAGCCTTAATAATTTCAGATTGGAGGAAATAAGAGTTCTAGCTGAGATGTCTTTTTTTTTTTTTTTTAGATAAGTATTCTGATCGCAGTGTATGTAGTACTCCTTATCACCCCTACAGAAATCGCCTAGCTCCGCTCTTAATCTGTGAAATGTCGTACAGAGACTCGACGGGGTGCTTCTGAAGTTAGACTGCCTGGGCTCAAGGCTTGTCTTCATTTGCCACTTACGTGACCTAGCAAATGAGCTGACTTCTCTGGTCTTCAGATTCCTCCTTTATCAAACAACAATCATATGAATCCATGTTGCATAAAGTTGTTGTCATAATAAAATGTGACACTATACATAATGAGCTAAGATTAGCGCCCAGCCCAGAATAAGGGTTAGCTTGCTGGGCTCATGGAACACCTCATGTTGGAAAAATAAATTCTCTCTAAAGAGGATCTGAATTATTATAAAATTTTAAAAACTCAGCCCGTACCTATGAGTAAAATTATCTTGTAAAAGAGATAATTTGAGTTCTGTTACATTCTATTGAAAGGAATATTTCTTTTCCCTCTTTGTACTCTGCCATGTTTCTGTCACCAGATATTATTTAATTGACCTGCCAAAATTTGTTTCTTAATTTCTTCAAGATTAAAACACTGAACAGAATGCTTAAATTTTGTCACACTGGTTGCTGCCAAATGAATACAATAGTACATCAAATAACAGGGGAGCTACGATCCGAAACATGCATTTCTAGGCAAGTTTATCATTTGGGAACATCATAGAATATAAACAAACCTAGATGATGTAGGTCAGTCACTCAGTGTGGTCCTGTGATTTGGTCAAGGGACCAAATACACAAGAGAGGAATGAGACTGCTGCTGGCCTAACATGCGAGGCGATTTTACTGTCAACTTGGTTTTTTTTTAAGTGGAAGTATACTCTAAAATACTATAGCACATACATGAACCAGTATGTAGTCATCTATTATCAAGCACAATGTAGTATGCATAATGGCACGTGTTCTCCTTTTGTACCCTGGTGGTGCCTCAGGTTTGCCGGTACGAGCACCACCACACACATGTGGAGGGATGTGTGGGAGAGGTGTGTGGCTCTACACTTTACGAAGGCTATGATCTTACTAGGTGATAGGAATTGTTCAGCCCCACCATAATCTTGGAGAACCATTGTTGTGTGTGACCTGCCATTGACTGAAAAGTCACTGTACCCACACCACGACATACCAGGAGCAGCTACAACAGCAGCACCAGCAGAAGCAGCAGGTGTTGTTGGGCCTCTGGTTTCCTGGAGCTTGGGACACAGCAGGTGTTCCTTCATTTTGTGATTGCTGTCTTTTTCGCATTTCAGCTACTTCAGGACCCAACTGGCTGAAAGAAGAGAGAACACCACAGGAGATGACAAATCCGCCCCAAGGAGAAGTTGCCTATGCTGCAGGACCCATAATTTAAGGCACGTAAAATCAGTATTCTTTAGCAGTCAAACTAAATACTCTCAGAGGGAAAAACAAAAAGACATAAATGAACAAAAAGCATTGTTCTAAAACATTTTATCCTATAAACTTTGGGGATAAAATGATACTATGATCTGTGGCATAAACTTATACAGTAATGCTATCACATAATCAAAATCACTGGTCACCATAAACACGAGGTTTGAAAATTTATTTTTAACTTCCTTCTTTACTCAAGGGTGATTAAATATGCTTTCCTTTGTGAGTGCTTTTAATGATTATGGGGTGCATTTGACTCGTTTCTCCACTGATGCTCATAGCGAGGCAAATTAAGCTTTATGAACCATTCCTGCTAAGCTTCTCCCCATACTCGCACAGTGAAGAAGGGCACACTGGCATCTGGTGCCCTCTTTCCTCTCTATAACACTCAGTCTCCTTTTTGGCACTTTTGACTCATCAGAGACTTAACCCTCAGGAAGTGACAACAGGTCTTACTTGTGCTTGGAAGTCCATTTTCTTTTTCTTTTTTTTTTCTTAATATATTGAGAAACAAACAGCAATGAGACAGTTTCAAAACAGGTCAGTAGGACAGTTACAATAATTAATACATTGCACACCGCTGTCTTCATAGTGGTTATTCATAGTACAAGAGACAGACATGATATCCTGTCCAAACACTATTAGTACAAATCTTTCTTCTCACTGAATTAAGAGAAAATAGCTATCTATCCTAACTATTTGGTATATATACACAAAATGTTCATTCATTTGTATCCCCATTTTTTGTTTAGTTTTTTCAGAGATGGGTATTCCATTTCCATTTAAATACAGTAGATGCATGAATTCATCAAAAATAATCCAATATAGTCCAGCAGTCCATAATAGTAGTGGGTTATCTGTAGGCCTGGCAGTGTCAAAAGTTATTGATGTGAGCCTTTCACAACTCAGCATATTAGTATGGCTTTACTTTGCATACCTCGTTTTTATACTTTTCTGCTGGATGGTTAAGACCAAGATAAAGCAAGACCCTATATAACAAGAACTGTCATTTTTGTATATGACAAGTTCAGTCAAATGCCCTAAGGATTTACTCTGAAACCTTGTACTGCAGTTTGTAGATCCTTTTGAAAAGGCATCACCTTTCTTTCTCCATCCTCCAGAATTGATTTTCATTTATCCATAGGACTGGCACAGTCAGAAGTTGTTGAATTGAGCCTTTTACAGCTCAGCATATCAATATGGCTTTACTTTTTATACCTCATTTTTATACTTTTCTTTTTTTGGCGGAACCAGGGATTGAACTCAGGCCCATGCGCTTGCCAGGGATGCGCTTATCCCACTGAGCCATCTCCCCGGCCCCTGATTTTCATTTAAAGGAGAGTTGGAGGAAGACAAAAAGCTATCAACCCAGAAGGGATTACTTTGGCAAGATTTATGCGTCACTGCAGATTAAAAAAATACTGGGATACAAATGCTGTATCTACAACCTCACCAATCAGGGTAAGTGACCTGTAGTATTTAGGGAACTGGTCTTCTCTTAGGACTAAACTATGGCTTAAAAAAGTTATTTTAGTATAATATTACCAAATTTAACATGAACTTATAGAAATAGGAAAAAATTTTATTGAATTATGCTCTTGGTAAATCTGCCATATAATTAATATACATATATTGTCATATGTGTAACTTAGAGCAATAGTAATTAAACTGAAATGTGCTTCGGGTCATTTTGCCATCGTGAGGTCATTTCTAAAGACTGTATATTCTGTTCTGAATACAATGCTTAGTAATTCTGAAAACAATATATTCTTAAAAACAGAATATTTATGCAGACCAGAAACTAAACAGAAAACACAAGCGGTAGGTAAGTGGGCTACAGCCACAGGCACTTTTATGATTCATGTACTGAAACAGAAAAAGGCTCAGACCCATTCCAGTGAGACATAAACTGCTCCACCGTGAGTACTGGGAGACCAGATCCTAAGTGACTTGCATGAAATCACAGGCTGTGGTTCTGCCACTCATAAAGGTATCCAAGAAACTCTTTCAAACCATTCCATGGTACCTGACTACTGAAGAATGAAGAGGTAGAGAAACCCATCTGGATAAGACCTACACCAAGAAGCCCAGTGGCTCAGGGACTGAACTAGGCATATCTGCAAAACCATTTCTAGGTGGAACGAATCATGGGATACAAATGAAAGAGTTGCTTCAGAACTAAAGGTCTTGGGAGAGTACTGGAGACAAAGGAAAACACTTAGATGAGGAAGGACAATCAGAGTGACAACTACACATTGGAAGGTCAAAAGCCTGAAATAGAAGATGGAAATCCAACTCCACATGGTTTTGGCCTTCCCATCCCTCCAACTGAATAATCTGAGCTCAAGGATTCTCTCAGTAACATGCAAATCACAGGATCAATTACAATTATTTTAATGGCATAAATGTAAGGTAACCAATGAAATAAAGAATGCCACTCACAATGGAATTGAAGAGATTAAAGGCAAAAATAAGCAAATATGAAATAGCCATAATAAACGTATGAAATGGAAAATACACAACCATTGAAAAGATTCAGATGGAATAATCTTGTCCCAAAGCACCTGCAAAGGCAGTAAGTGACGTTGCATAGGACCATACCCAGAATGCAGTACAGATCTACACAGGCAGCGTGAGAGAACTGGGACAAGTACAGCAGTGGCACTGAAAGGCTGCGACAGGGAACCAACATGACTTTTATCAGAAGAATCAACAGATTCTCAGGGAAGTGGTATTTAAGGGAAACTGGCTGAGAACATCTCAGAATTGGAAGAGAAGAAAACAAAACACAGAAAGAATACAGGACATGCCCAAGAGAATAAATAAAATAAAAATAAATCTAAAACCCACAGATCTACAAGATAAAAAATAAAACATGAATTAGCCTCAAAGAAGTACTACTTTAACTGGCAGTAGACTTTTCATGAACTGTATTCAATGCCAGTCACAGTGGGCAACAGAGAAAAGTGTTTCAAATGCTGTGGGCGAGTAACAACCATTTTTCAGGGCTACACTCAGCTAAATAATCTAATGGTGGAGATTACTTTTGATAAATTAGTTGGATTACTAAAATTTATCTGAACTCCACTTTAGTCAGAAGACAAAAATTGGCGGGAAGGTGTCAGACTAAATTAACAAGCACTGAAACTGGTTTTAAAATATGACACTGTCTCTAATGACTGGCTGAAAACCAAAACCGTGTTTCCTTATTTGAAAACAATCAAGAGTTAAATTTGAGATAAATTAACAAACGGAGGGGCTGTCCCACCCCTACACTGAAAGTGCTTTTATAGCTATCATGTCTTTACATTTTTATATTAGAGTTGTGCTGTCATTTTCTACCGGGCTGCTATGATGACAATATGGCTTTTCCTCCCCTAGAACTCACACTGAACTCAATTCCGCAGTGTGATGATGGAAAGGTGGTGTGGGTCCCCTAAGAAGTATTTCGGCCCCAGGGGCTTTGCCCTCATGAATGCATTAATGTAGTTCCAAGAGAACTAGCTAGCAGTCATGAGAGGGGGTTGCTACCAAGCAAGGATCCCCTTATCTTTTCTCTCACCACTGCCTGCTTGCCACCATTTTATGAGCTAACTTGAAGTAGTGTGTGGCCCTCATCAGAAGCCTAGAAGATTATGAACTTCCAGGATCAAGAACATGAGCCAAATTAAAACTCTTTTCTTTATAAAATCAAGAGGTACACATTCTGACAACAGAAAACAAACTAAGACATAGCCTTAGTATGACATTGCAATGGACTGAACATGTCTCTCCACCCTAATCTCATACTCCTGGCCTCCAGAACCTTGTGAAATTAATTTCCTTTACTTTAGAAGGGCCTTTTATTGTGGTAGCCCAAACCAAGTAACACAGACACAGGGACAACTCCACTGCCTTTGAATTCTACCCTCTTCCCTTGTCCTCCTGGGCACTACTCTCACCTGCGTGTCTTTTATCTCACTGGTTACTTCTTTCTCCTTCGTAGTTCCCTTTTTGTCTCCTCCTTTAAAATTTGTATGGGCACAGTAATCTATGCCAAGGACTCTTTTATTTTTTCTTTTTATGTATTTAGTACAGGGTCTACAGGGTCCCTGTACTACAGACTGGACTCGTAGCGATCCTCCTGTTTCTAGCCTCCAAGTGCGAGGATTATAGATGCACACCACCACGCCCAGTCTCAGTGAACAACATGCCCTGGGGGCAGGGCCGGCACATGCTGGGGATCAAACCCAGTCCCTGTGTCTGCCTAAGCAAGCACTTTAATTCGCTGAGCTTTCTGGCTGGCCCTTCAAGAACTGTTTTAAATCACAGATTTTTTTTTTTTTTTTTTAAACTGGATCTACTAGCTTTCTACACAAAATTGTAAGTCCAGTAAGATGATTTTCTTAAATTCACAACTTGTAATACAACCACCTACTTGACATCTCCACTTGAGCTTCTGAAACTTAACATATTCCAATCTGACTTTATTATTTTGACTCCAAAGCCTTTTTCCTCCCATAATTCTCCGAATTACAGCAAAGAAAAAGGCTCCGCCTCCCAAGTATTCAGATGAAAGGCTTTGGACTCATCTAGATTCCTCTATTTTACCTGTATCCCACATCAGCAGACCAGCAAGGGAGACCTCGACTCTGCTGCAATTTCCACCACTCCCCACTCCTATCCATACCCTTCTCTTCTGAATGCAGTGGCCAGAGCGCAGCATTTAAAACATAATTCAGAGAATTTCAATTTGATACAAAAAAAAAAAAAACTCCCAGAAGTTTTTCATCTTATTTATCATAAAAACCAAAGTTCCTGCAATGCAGTCTTTAAGTCTAAATATACCTTCTCGCATCCTCATTCGTTCTGTTCGAACCCCAGCAGTCCCTTGGCCGC